GGACAGTGTGTAGTGGCAAAGGTTGCAGTTGGTTATAACGAGAGCACCTGGGAGTGACAAACGGTTAGAATAAAATCGGGCCGTAAAAAGGTGGAACCAAAGCACCTCAAAGCAGCAACGAGACGATGAACGAGAACTTACCGGGCATCGAGTAGAATAGGCTAGTTCAAATTATGGACATGACATGATACTGAAACCGATTTTGCCATGAAATAGTGCTTGATGGTTGAAAACATGTAGCGGGAAAAAACGACAAAAAGGAGACAGCCATTCCAGGTCACTTTGGCCAATGCGTGGATCGAAGTCGGTGCTGTAGGGCCGTCGATTTTGACGGACGAACACACAAGATAGACCGGTTCTCACATCACAGTGGTAGTTCGGTTATACGCAAGCACGTGCGCGTCGTGTTATTGACCGTTCATATTGGTCAAGTTCCCGCTCAAATTTCTACTGTCTATTGGCTAACGCTCCATTCAACTATTTCTCTGTCGTTCTTCAGCTTGTATCAGTNATAGGTTAAACAAAATAGCACCGACAGTCATGTTACATGACCTCGATTTAGATCATGCGAATTCGCAGAAACCAATGTATATTAGTTCCCCCGCTTTCCGGTCATTAGACACAATTTCACTACAAGCATTGATTTCTCGGTGATCGAGTTAGTAACGTGGAACTGAATAAGATGGTAAAGAGGACTAGTCCACAAAGATGTGGCTTAGTTACCAACGGGCAGCAAGAAATATGTGTGGACCGAATTCAACGGTATCCCGCTGCTAAAGCATCGCAAGTGCATCATGAACGATAACGAAACCGATCCAGTTAGACCAGCGGATTGTGATCACAAGAGTGGTAGAAAATTCAAAAACAGAAGTAAAAGTTTTGAAGTCAACGGAGACCGACAGCTGAATATCAGGCATAAGAATCAAATGAAAACCATGATTAAAGGATCTTATTCAAATCTGGGTTTGAATCCGACGGACGCCCGAAATTTTGGTGGGAAACATCATCATTGAACCATTCAAGCCCTTCTTCTTGTCTAAACAGAAGTTATCTTTAATAATGTTATCAGAAGTTATTACAATACAATACAATTATAACGAATCCAAAGAGACTAGTGGAAATCAATCAAGAATTGATGACAATCAAAACAATATTACTAGCATAAGGGTTTGGATCTGGACATCAGCCCTAGGAACGCCATAGTTCTAAGCCTACTTATTCATGCCATAAGTACGCAGAGCAATCCTGGTTATATTTTGTTTGATAAATCTGTATATTCGTGTTCAACGGAGGAAGGAAAAACACAGTTAGTGATGACTAGTGTTGCACCGAGTTTCTACACTGGTCAGTGCTTTAATCCAATACAACGCGTTCGTCTCAGACGATGAAAAGTACGCAAGCGAAAGAAATAGCTAACATTCAGATGTTCATCTACTCACGAAATTCGTGCTTCCAAACTAAATACATCTTTCTGGCTGCTGCACCCCGTTGCTCCACAATATCAAAGTAAACAAAATGGTGAGATACGGAGCAGCGGACAATGCAACGGGTGTCCAGTGCAAAAATCAGAAGGTGCTAAACACGCGTGCCGTTTGGGCAAAGTTTATCGAAAAATGTGATCTTTTTTTGTTCTAAACCATTTATTCTTAGCTATAACAACGAAAACGTTTTGATCGTTGAGTGGTTGCGGTCGGATTTCACATTTGATATCCGCCCCACAACCCTTCCCCTACCTCCCAGCGGTACGTTATCGATTACCATTCCAAACACGAGTGTACCAGATCGTTCCTGATTTCCGTACTAAATCAAGGTCCGGAGGCAGTTGGTCTGGACATAGAGATGAATCGATGCAAAAATCAGACTAGTATAACTACGAAAAACCGTTCAGTTTCCTTCGTTTGTGAAAGCAATCTGGAGTTGCATCGGGTGTTGAACTGAGAAGATAGTAGGGTGCATGCATGCATAGACAAACGTTGGGGTACAGCGTTGGCTGCTTTTTCATTTGTGTCAAAATAACGTGTGACTAAAACCTTGGGGATGAAATATCACCAAAAATCCAAACAGAAGGTCACGAAAATCGGGTAATCTGTAAAATGATGGTGATGTTGTGGTTGATAAATGCCAACTTACTCTTACCCACCGGGCCTTTGGAAAAAACGAACGACCGAGACACGCACGTGAGTGCACGTTCGCTGCTGTGACGCCGTATTCAATATCCACTACTAGCTGATTTATCCCCCCTGCCTTACTCCATCCTTGGGCCCAGAGAAACCGTGATTTCGAATGGATGACATTTGACAATGGTCGGGACAGAATTTCACAAGACAGAATGATAGTGTGTGTGTGTGTGTGTGACCATGGACGCGTGGATGCATGCTATTCCCACGGTGAGGGACAAACGCACACACAATGCGCGCTCTAACTGGAAAAATCATCTAGACAACAACATACAAGGCTACGTCGTACGTCAAGGTGATGATAATGATGATGGCAAGGGTTCTGTTAAATGAGAACGCAAACCTTGACGAGAGAACAATCCCGCTCCTCAACTGTCCCCGGACATCGATGACTATAGCAACTGAGGTCGGCTACACCAAAAATGATCAGAAAAAAGACAACGAGGATTCACGTCGTGTTTACATCCACAATTCTCTAGCCCTCTCACCAACCCACAGCGCCTTCTTCAATGGACTGCCATCAACCATTGACCAGTTGCCGCCCAAATCAGTCAAAAAATCAATCAGTTGAACAATCGATACCAGCAATCGTATTCAAACGGATAAAAAGGACTCCTGCTATGGGTAAGGAAGTTGATACGTTTCCCATGAAGAACAGTAAAGATTGCTATCATTACACGACGAGTTCCGGGAAAGCAGAATATGCCATTAGCAAACGAGTTAGACACAGTGATTTAAAAAAATTATGATAGATGCGAAAACCTTATAATGCAGAGGATCGTTTATTACGCTTAAGAATACAGTTCTGTACAAACAAAGTGTGAGCATTTTGAGCTATCTCATTACCCAACTTAGTGTGACGAACCTTGGAGGGATTGAATTCTACTGCTCGACTTTGGTACCAAACGGCCGAAGCAGGACGATACACAAAAATAGGAATGATATATGCAAAAACGACGATGAATCTGAATAACACCCAAGTCGGTTGGCAGTGGGAGTGTGCGAAGCCTGAACGGGAGGGACTGGAGCACACCGAAGGTAGCGACTTAAACCACCTGATCATAATTGCACTTTCGCGAGTGGGAGATCACCGGAGCATAGATAATGACATTTATTTATTAGAAAGAGTACTTGATGTGCGATTCTCCCCCCAAAAAACAAAGGAAAGAATAAGGAACAGCGAACAAAAATTAAAAGATCGTGGTTAGCTACAGGCAACCGAAAGAATATGGAGCACATCAGTCGGATATGTTGAGATTTATGCTTGTGCATATCGAGGAAAGGTGATTTGAACCAGCCAATTCCGTTTGATCCGTTCTCGGATTAAGCAATCCTACATGAGGTGATTTTAATGAATACGAAGACTTAAACTCCAAAAAGAAATGGGCGAATAATTACCCATGGCTAAGTCGTTACATTCGAGTTAAAGTACAAACGCGCAACGGACATTTACAGATCGATTTTAATTTGTCAAAACTCATTCAAAATGACCAAGGGAAGAAGTAGATTCAGAAGGAACGTACCTCGCGTTTCAACTGCCCGGCCCATCGCATAAGACGTTCCGGAACATCAGCCGCAGCCTCATTCTGTCCAGAGACTACACCACCACCACCACCACCACCACCACCACCAGAACTACCACCCCAAGCAGCATTAGATTCAGCTGATCGGTATGCATTCCCGGCTGAAGAGCCGTACTGTGCGTGTACATTCCCTGGAGCGTTGCGTGATCGTGTTTGCCAGTTGAGGAACTCCGGTGAGGCCATTTGAGGTGAACGGGCTCGTCGTATGTGAGAAATGGGGCTGGAATTCCGACGCCAACGGCGAAATTCCTCATCCATGGATGGCCAACCAGGAAACTGATTGACCGGTTGGTTCATCCCCATCGACTGAGCTCGTGGCTTGTTCATGTTTGAATTCAGGCCAGTACCACCGGAACTGAATAGGGTGGGTACAGAACGGCCGGCAGAACCCAAACGACATTCGGCTTCGAACTGTTAGTATGGGGTAATGATATTCGATGAAAAAATTAGAAAATATAATCGCATTACGGTTTCCCGATAGCAGTAGCACTATGAGTGTGGCAAAGATTGTGCAATAACAGCTTAACACTAGCCGCCCATGGTAGGCCAGCACCGGACAATAATGAAAAGCTACTCATCGACTAGTAAAACACTAAAGATATGCATTCATACATTACTTCAGTTATTCTTAGTGTTAACCCTCTACTTTTATTTATCAAGTAGATAACTGTACAATCAATTTTCACGAAAGGATGTGGCCAATCATGGGATACGTAGAATTTGATTGTGCAGCATGACCTCCGGACAGAGGGTATAACGACATACAATGCACAAATACTTGGAATGGACTGTACTTAGTTTTAAACCCGAATCCTGACTACAGTTCAATGTTTCTTCTACTTGGACAACGAGTTGAGTGGCGCAGTCATTAAGGAAGGAATCAGCCGAACGGAGATTCTCGAACATCGTGCTTTGCACAGTTCGGTACAGGAAAGATGGAACCAACGGACTAGCAAGATAAGTTTTCACCCATCTGGTACCATTTCGACTGAACCTTGTTTTTCACAGCGATTGTGTGTGAGTAGACTACGGCGGTTGGAGTACGTGTTGCATATGACCAACAATCATATACTGGACCACGTCCTGTTTGAAGTTACTGATCTAGAAAGGATTAAAACATACAGAGAATAGATATGAAGATCCGTGTTGAGAGGGGGTGCGCAGCTTTGCAGTCGTCCGGTTCAAAATCACACCTAACCTATCGGGGCCTTGTGTGGTTCACCACTCCAAGTACCGGGGTTCAAGTTTCTGGTTTCTATCACTAAACAGCAGGTCTTCGCGACTATATGGTTCATCCTGTTTGCTATTCATCACACAAATGTGTGTGTGTAATAAAAAGGGCAGACCGAATACATAACTCTTTTCATCGAGGGTGGGGTTCTGAAGATCTCTCACGGAACTGGACCAAAGCAATAAAGGATATGATGGTGAATCGACAGATTTAATGTGCCTTTTGCCATCGCTCATCCGATTGGACAATTGAGATACTCAGATGTGCACACAACGGGACCGTTTACCGCGATGACCCCCATTCCTTCAACTCATCCCATTCAGATCCGCAGATTGATTCCATTGCTATAAAGAGGAGTGCATCATGATCCATTTGTCACAAACTGGACCCTCTCTGGTCTGAAATATACAACACTATATGCTCCATAAAGGACATGTTCATATTTAGTTTGCATAGGCTAAGGGTGGTGGTGATCAATGTCTCTCTCTCTCTGTGTCTATATATATATGTCAGTGGCATGCATGGTGCCAATGGGAGATCAATGACAAGGATGGGATTGTAGTAAAACAGAAGACATGGAAAAGAAACAAGTACCGAGAACAAAAACAACAATGTCATTTTTGCACTGCATAATTTTGAAATGTTTCTGTGTGATGATTCTGAAAGTTGGCATTTATCAAGGTATGTTCTGGGCACAATTGAACCCTCCACCTGGAGAGATCCTGTACGTCTTAACACATTTAGTCAAGCGGAATTCCGGTAAGGTTCAGTTGTGCGAGGAGTGAATAAGCCCATCGGGTATAGCTTTACAACCGTTGCTCCGAAACGCGAGTGAGTAATATATTTTATAGTGAGTTTTCGAAAAGATCCTACATTCAGGTGAACTTTGGGCTGATAGACAGTTTTATGGCCACCGATGAGCAAAACGAACATAAAAGAATACTGTGCATGAACAGAGTGGAGGCGTTGATATAATTAATCATTTCATCACTCTTTTATGTAGCGAGCTGCGCACTACTAAGCAACACAAGCCGTTGCAGTCTGATGGATTCAAGTCTGCAAGTGTGTCATAAATACCTATCACCAAGTATGCCACATCAGTCCTTATTCGACCCAACTGCTTACGCCACAAACATTCCACTTCATCTTAGACTCGTTGTCAAATACGAAGTATGAAAGAAATCAATTTTTTGTGCGAAGATAAAGCTCCTCGTCCATGAACCGAAAATCAAAAAGTGTATGTGGATTGGTGCGAGAACGCGGTGGTGGGGGAGGAAAACCGTGAGAAATCATTACCAAAAAATAAAGGAAGGGCCAATTCGAACGGCGTAGTTAACAACGAACACGCGACGCGTGGATAAACAAAATTATAAGCTGAAGAAAACGAGTCCGTGATCGACCAACTGTTGTGAGTGACATCCAGTCGTGCCCTTACAAACCATATAGTGGGAAAATTCGTTCACAATGATGGTCATTGTTTCGACTTAAGGTCATTAACAGGAGACAGAGAACAGAGGTCCACACATACCACTCCGTCGATCGAAGGCGGCCCAGACTTAGACACTGGTCGTGGCCGAGACGATTGCCATTCGTTTACTATGCCTAAAGCTATGTGCAAAAAAAGAGTGGTTTACGCGCTTTAATTGCTGCAATCGGTCCAGTGTGAAGACCATGATAACACATGTCACTTGACACAAAGATCTTCGTGAATCTCTCAACCCTCAACCTCCGATTAATGACCTTAAACCCGGCCATTGTGTGCGCATTTTCCCAGCATGTGGTTTGTAAGAGCAAGATTGCGTATCAACCAAAACCACTGGTCGCTCGCTGACTCGTTTTCTCATTCTCGCTTGTTTGCTGCTAAAAATTAGTACCGGAATTGAAAAAAAACTGATGACATCGAGAAAACAGAAGATGAGGTGTGGACGAAGAGATACCGGGTACTGAAGTTATTATACTCTCAATGCACACCCCGCTCCATTTAGAGGGAGCTAGCAGAAGATAGAGAGCAATGTTAAAGACGCAACAGATGACTCGTGAAGGCCGATAATAATAGGGTGGAGGGCGGATTGACATCCAACCTTACTGTTTTCGTTCATTCGTTATTGGAAATCTAGCCTTCGTCCTATATTTATGTATTTATTTATTTATTATTCGATCTTTCACTGACTACAAAAATCACCTTGACTGAAGTATGCACGTGTACAGATGCAGCGAAATGATAATGGATACACTGTGCAAACCCACGTTCGTCAGTTTCCTGTTCCAGTTTGCAACGGGAAACACAGTATTTTCGACCCCTATGGTAATTCTACCGTCACTCCAAACATCAATACACTGAACGGGGAACTCAGCGGTGCCTTGCTTTTCACTCCCGACCCATTTATCCAATCAAGGTCTGACTGCTATGAAGTAGGAGCAGAAAAAAACCCACATTGTGCATTGTGTTTCGCCTGTTACCAAGGCTAACCGTGGACACCATCTGCTCGGCCTGCAGACCGTTACAATCAGAACAATGGAACAGGTGCAGGGCATCCAAAATTACGGTCAAGTAGGGATCATTTATTCCGTTTCTAGAGGAAAACGACATCACGATTTGTGACGGACCACAAACGAATCATCACAGTGGACTGCTACAACATATGGGAAACCAGAGGATGTGTGAGGCTACGGAAACCTCAGCGAGATTTGAACTCACTTACCTTCGATTTGGTTTGTTCGTACCGGGCTTGGAGGCTGGTGATCGCTTCAGAAATCTCCATTTGTAAATTTCGATTGACCGCAGGAAAATTGAACGACCGTTCCAAACGAGTTGTGGCCATAACAATCGCTTCTGTAACGGTCATGATGGCGGGTGATAAACAGGGCGAAGTAAGGAAAGTGGGTAGGATTGAGCGAAATAAAATGTACAACCTCTCTTCATTGCTTCCATATAAAAACATGCATGTGCAAATTGAGATATGACTTCCCCAACGAAGGCGAACAGTGACAGAAGTCTACGGAAGAGGGGAGCAGTCACGTCAAGTGAATGAATCAGTCAAAGAAGCAAATGTTTTATTAACAGAAGAAGACATATGTAGGCAGAATTGACCATGGGCTTCGCGAGCTTCCCTTCAGCTGTAAATACACATCTATATCACCATGTGCAACACAGAAGGAAGCGAGTTGAACTGAGTCATTCACCGATGTTTTAAGCAGTCCTCTTTCATAACTTATTACAAAATTTTGCTATCTAACTTGAACTCCCGTAACCAAACCCAAATGTGCAAGTCACTTGTTGAACACCCAATTCTAATGACTCAGTTTAACTTGGACGTTTCATTGTTTTACTTCAGTTGTGTAACTGAGCATTTACTGATGAATGAAAGCACCCAGATATATCTTCTGGTGTTAACGAAAAGAATGTATCATGTGAACGTTTGTCCATAGTCATAAAGAGTAATACTGATAATCAATTAGCTTAATTGCCTACTGTTGGGCAA